TAGAAAATATAAATAGAAAGATAGATAGAAAAAAGATATACATATGTCATATGTATCAAAACATATAATCGATATGATTACTATAACCCTGCAGTCTACGGTCCAGAAGACACAGTTGCCTGCATCCCTTCCGCGGAACTCCAGAGTACTATGGACTTGCCGCACCACCTGTGGAGCAAAGCGACACTCTGGTGGGTAGCCCGGGCTGAGAGTATTATTCTAAGGCTTCCTGCGTGGTGGTGGAGTGGTGACTGTACTGTAACAGTAGCAACACCGAACACAGTAGCAGAAGAGTAGCAGTAGTGGTTGTGGTACTGGTAGTGCCTGTGACCGTACCTCTTTTGGTTTCTGTGACAGGGGGAAATGGCAGGAACAATCATCGTGAGACAGAAGAACAAGAACGACACTACAAAGACTTAAACTTCTCAATTCAAGTCGAAGCATCGGTACTGATAACCTTGCTAACGATAATAGAAAGAACAACTGAAGGAGCCGAGGCTAGAAGACTCCTATTATACACAGCACCTACAACACCACCCACTAAACCTAACATCCAAAGAGCTCAACTCCAAAACACTGAAGCTGAAAATCCTGCAAAATCAGACCCGAAAACTCCTGCACCGTAAGCCTAAAACCCCAAACATTCTGAAGACATCAAGCACGCAGCCGTGCCTCTAGCTTCTGAGCGGCGGTGCCCTTGATCTCCATAAGCCGATACCGGTACTCTTCCCCATCCTGGCTTCATTTCTACAGGACTCAAGGCTGAGACGATTTAGGGTTTAAGACAGTTTAGGGGTTAAGGGTTTACGGGTTTAGGGTTTAGGGGTTTTGGGGTGTTCAGGGTAAAGCTCGACCCTCAAGCATTCCCTGACTGCCCGCAGCCTGAAGCTGCTCGGCTTTGTGCTGCTGGACCTGTTCCGGCTGCTTCGGCTTTGGCTGTGACTTCTGTCCGGCAGTGTGCGCAAAAAGCTCACTACCAATCTAGTTGAATCGGCTTTCCTGGCTGATCATGAAATCGACTACATCTGACTCGACAACTCCTTGTTGTCTACTTCGGCTCCTGTCGTGGGTTCTGAGGTAAGTAATTTACATTCATCGAATGTTGCTGGAGAAAGTCAATCACATTTCCGGGTGACTCGTTGAACGGCCACCACAAGGTTGCACGCAACGCAATATTTTGAACATCGCAGAAACGCGGATCTGAGCCCAGGCTGCACCAAAAGAGTACCCAGCTGAACTTCTCCAACAGTTAGCGCACGATTCTGCGACTTCAATGGCCGACAAAGCATTCGACAAGACTGCCATAGACCGCATAGCCTCTTGTTGGAGAAGTATATGCTAGCTAGAAGCATTGGAATGTTCGTCGTCTCGACGCAAGTGATTTATGCCAGAGGGAGGAGTCCCCCTTTAGGCCTCAGCTGAGGATGCACACAGATCTTTTTGAGGTCATCCCAGATTCAACCCTACACTGGCCCTACACGACTTGAACTTGAGACATCGATGCTTCATCTTGCTAGCATGGGGAGACCTCAGCACACCGCACCGCCAAGATGTGGGTGCTTCCAGCAACGGGATGGTGCTGACACCGCTCGAGTTCTGTTCATGGAACATGATTACGGAGATGATCTTGATGATGGTGATGATGACGACGATGATGATGATGACGATGGTGCTTGTGATGATGGTGATGATGATGATGATGATGGTGATGAGGGTGATGCTGATGATGAAAACGATAATGATGATGATGATGGTGAGGATGGCTGCGGATGACGACGATGATAAGCAAGATGGCGATAGGACGACGACGGTGCAGTGATGTTGCTTCTGATGATGAAGAAGAAGAAGACTGTAAAGACAAGTTCTCCATCGCCACCATCACCGCCACCACCCATCCCATCACCCCCACTGGGAGGCAACAGGAATGCCGAAACAACGACCGGAGAAAGACGGAATGCGAGCACAGCAAGAGTGAAAGCCACAGCTGAATTATCGACTTGACATGAGTTATACTCAGATTGAGCGAAAACTTGCATCAGCAATGCTAGTATGGGGTTAATGGGATTGACAAAAGCTTGAGCACCGGTGGATTCCAACTACATCACCATCTTAAACTGTGCACTGCCCGAAGGGGTCAAACTAAAAGCCGTTGTGCCTTATTTATGCTTCGGGCTTGATGCACGTGGAACAATGAGTAGTCATGTGAGCTGCTGCAGGTTCTATAACACAAGCAGTTCGCCCAGTGCCATCAAGTCAGTAGAGGAGAGACAAGGTAAATAAAGCTGATACAATCTTATACGAGTACAAACGATGGAAGTCGAATGGCAGTAGTCCGGAGTATTGGCAATAACAACAACATCGTCAGTCACCGTAACAACTAAAAGTAAATGTAACTAACAAAGCAAACAGATTAAATCGGGTGCTTCAACCGCCAGCACGGTCAATCGAGACCGCGTGACTAGCGAACATCTTGAAATGTCACTGTGCCAAGCACGACATTACACGGAACTTATTCACAGGGATTTTGCATGCCGCGAAATGTGATTGGCGATTGATCCTGAACATGATGCCAGAATACTGAAGGATGCATGTACTCCTAGCTAAGCCAGCCCGCCTGACTATTGTATCATTCACACTCATGTCTATGATCCGCGAGTTGTTGCTGGAAGCTCCGATGTAGTGAGACCGCCAGCTGCTGCAGCAGATCTTCGGCAAAGGCTGCAGTCCACTCTCACAAGGGGTCATAGGCCCATCTGACATGCGCGCAGTGTCCAGCTAGTTTTGCGAAGAATCTGTCAAATCCTAGTGGCGTCATCACTGCCCACGCCTGAGCATCTAAAAAACCAGGCAAAAAACGAAGCAAACCTCAAGCCCTCTCTCCCGCTTCGTGCTTTCCAGATCAGGGTGTTGACTTCGAGCCTGAATGACATGTGGTTCGTGATCTCGGCACCTTCGTTAGCCCAGGCAGCTCGGCCCAATAGCTGAGTTAGCAAGATCCGTAGTGAAGCGGAACTACAATGTAATTACAATACGTCTGCATATGTAGGGCTCTGGGGTTTTAGGCTGTCTTGCATGTCAGGGTCTAGGAAACTCAGTTAATCATGACCACTGCGCAGGTACATTGCAGGTACATCAGCTGATCGCGGACAGGGCACGACAGCTGACTTTGACTCAACACATGGGCATGTGCCATCAAGACGATGTATCGTGCGTGTGCTCAGACGAACATCCAGACAAGAAGCCTGGACTTCGCACATTCCCACTGGTTGAAAAAGAGCGGCAATGAGATGAGTGAGACAGCTAGCCATCGTATTACAGCACAGGGGCACGGAAAACCACACAACTCAGGTCTTCGGGGGTTTGGAGGTTCAGCGGCCAATCCGACCAACCCTGGAATCATGATGTGCGACTAGGCAGGAAGCCTCAAGACAACAGCAAACACATGGAGCATTCTGAACCAAGATGTCCAGCCTCGCAGCTGCTTCTTTAAACACAGACATGGGCAAGTCTCAAAATCAGGGTTCCTCTCTCCCAGTTTAAAGCCGAAGACAGGGGCTTTCATGGCTAGAATAGTATTTTGGGGTATATGAAGAATGAGGCAACCCCAGAAGAGCATCAAGTCGTCACACAACACAGAGGATCCCTGGTTGTTTCAGTTGCCCATCGTACCGTTCCATTTGCCGGCGTCGATGTCCGTCTGTGGCCGCATACGGCCGCTTGCAGCTCAGAACGATTCAGGCCGTGTGAAGGGCCTTCAGGTGGCTCTGGAGAGTACAATATAGGGACCTTACCAGCTTGAAGAAGGTGTTGGGGTGCCTTATACTAAAGACTATACAAAGATACGAGGAAACACACCCCGGGCACCTGTATCTAGGATTGTCGCGTCGGGACACCCATGTCGTAGGCGTGAAACGCAGGAAATTCGGAGAGAAAGTGGCTTAGTCCCGCTTTGAAGATCACAGCTCCGATAGCTTCACAGGCACGACCTCGGGTATGAGGTCGGGGGGTTTAGGGGCTCAGAGGTTTAGACATTTAGGGTGTAGGCTTTAGGGAACTTTAGGGGTTCGGGTCTGGCTTAAGGGGATGATGTTTGTGATCGCTGTGCTCCTTGAACGGGCTCCGCCATGACGTTTCTGGAACACAAACGAGCTTCAGTGGATCCTACAATTTGTCTGAACGGAAAGGGGTGAAACAAATCGCCGTTATGACTTTGGAAAAGAAGGCTCGGCTCCTTTGCCGGACCTGTACACCTGTGCTGCCACAGGAACCCATATCAGCTCAGGAAGGCGACAGACACGCCCGGATTCTTCACCTCAGAGTTGCCAGGGTTGACGACTTGGGTCTCAGACTTGACTTTCGGGTTTTGGGGTTCGGGGTTGTGCCTTGGGAAGGCACATACTGCGCCGAAAAAACTGGCCACATGTGCAGCGCTTTCGGGGAGTATCTTGTTGCAGCAGGTTGGTACATGTTGGGGTTACGAGGGCATGGCAGCGTAGATGACTGAACCCTGAACCCTTCACCCCCATAGACCCCAAAAGAACTCTCCCTATAGAGGACCCCAAACACTACGGGTCTTGCTCTCATCAGTCGTGTTGCGAATTTCAGCCATGGCAGCCACAGTCTCTTCGTGTCACGACCGTTGGAATCCGTGGCTGCTGGCTTACGGTTTGGCAAACTTAGGATTTTTGGTTCCAGATTTAGCTGCTCCGGCACAGAGCCCTAAACCCAGAGACTCGGCGGAAGCAGCTTTCTTTGGACCATTCGCCTTGACTGCGCTCGCGTAAGATGCTTGTTCGGTATTGCCAGTGCCGGTATTGCAGATGCAGAAGCCTGAAACTTCCTGAAAAATGTAACCGCAAGAACCCACTAGACCCGCTGGAAACTCCACTCCAAGTGCAGCTCCGAAATCCGCATTTGTTGTGAGCGAGCAGAGGACTCACCCCAACCCCTAGCCCACACTCTGAAATGGCAACCCAAACTTAGGAGCCGCTGGTAGTTTTCTATACGTGGTTTTGGGCCCCAATAAACAACATCACCAAACGGAGCGAAGGTGCGACTACGGCAAGGTGGCCAGGAATAGACTGGCCCGGCGTCGCCGTCAGCTGTTCTGCCACCTGGCGTCCGATCCTTTCCCGTTTCAACACACTGCTCCACCTGTTGCTCAAGGGGCTCCAAATCTTGCGATTGATCTTGCGATTGGGGCTGACTGACAGTCGAGGTGTTGAGTTTGATGTATACATTAATGATCATTAATAATCCCTAAGCTGCAGGCACCTGCACATAGCTGACCACTGTCGTGGCAGGGGCAGCGCCAGACGCGGACCAAATGGTGAACGTGGCGCAGCGCATGTCGATGTCATTTTCCACCTGTTCGGTTCGAGGCCTCCTCTTTGAGTAAAGTCAAAGGAGGATTATTTCCGGGAGCAGAAGGAGATGCTAGTGCTGAGTATTCAAGCCAGAGTACTGCGGCTTAGTTTCTTTCAGCTCGCTTCTCGGCGCTTCAAGCTGTCGGGTCGAGAGTTTGGGGGCCTTTGGGTTGGGAGTTTAGGGAGAGTTTAGATCTTTGGGTGAAAAGGCACGGGTTGTCTAGCAGATCAAAAGGATCGCGGCTTTAGCTCGATAGAGGCAAGAAAGAGAGCAAGCCCAAAACTCGAACTACTAATCAGAATAGGGGCCAACCCTATTTCCCAATACAGAAAAACACACGAAGGAACCCTGGGGAATAGCATTGGCATTGGTTCAAGCTTCCAGACTATCGGTATTCAATGTTTCGTTCGCGGCCATTAGAAAATCAAAGGGTTGGCTGCGATTGAAAGCAGACCACTATCGACGGTCCCGGCTGTATCCCTGTATCCCTGCTGCATTTGATGAACGCGCTCTCGAGACACACCTTATCTTGGAGTGTGAGCCTTCGTGTGGACATGCCGCCGGAACCAACGGTGTTCTGGACTAGCCGTCTTGATGATCATCGGTATTGTGACTACTGTGGATAGTGTTGTCATTCTTGTGATTACTAGTAGCCACTTCAGTAGTATTACTATGAACGACTGCTGCTTTAGGAGGCGAGGGGACTGCTCCGGAGACCCTCACCCCAGCATCCCTAAACCCCAAACCTAAACCCTCACCGACTTCCCCTCCACGTAGCCTCAATGACATCCCCCAGCTCGATTTGCGGGAGCGTGGAGGCAATGCGGATTACCTGAAAACGAGGATGTAGGGTTTAGGTTTAGGGCTTAGGGGATCAGGGTTAAGGCCTGCTCTACTTTACACGTCAACGATTCGGAAGATTCCGTGTCGGAAAACCCATCTTGACAGGTCGGCGCTCGGACTCACTACGATATCCGCAATCGGTCTCTTTATCAAACATGCAAACGACGCCGATGCGAAGCTTCATCGAAGCCTCAAAGAGCCTAGGCTTTGACAGTAGGACACTCGCGAAGCCTGAGCCCGAAACTGCACCCTGAAACACAAGACCCCATACCCCAAATCCAGACATTCCTACAGACAAAATCAACGTTCGCGATTCGGGAACCCGAGGCCCGAAACCCTCAACCCAACCGGACCCAACACTCTTGCTGAAGGTCTCATAATTCGCCGTGGTGCGCGCTGGTTCACGCGGCTGCAGAGGCGGCCAGTGCGGTTCAGAAACCTGAGCTACCCACGAAGCCCTAAGCCCCTTTCGTTGAGAACTCTAAACTGAAACGCAACCCAACCCGTTACCACCCTCCGGAATTCACGGCTGCAAGAGGCCAAGATGTTGCTTCGGTTGCTAAGGTTTAGTCGGGGTTGAAAGGCTCGGGCTAAAGAGTTGCGGAAACAAGGTTCAGGAACTCGGCTGAAGGTGTTCCAGCTTTTTGCCTGAAAGCTTTGGGTTGTGGAACCTGGAATAGAGTTGGCATCCTTACGGTTGAGCGAGCATTCCAACATCCCGCCAAAACTTGGCGCGAGCCAAACACAGTTCTACTCAGTGTAAGCGCTGGCTCCACAAGAACAGTGATAGACGAGTCTGCCAGGAGGCTATCTTCACAAAGGCTTCCTTGCACATGACTGCAATCCCTCCACCCTCCGACGTGCTTGTTAGAATGGCCTGCTGGTCGGAATGTCCGTCACACTTACCTGGCCAGCCTTACAACAACCCTCTCTTACTTATAGTAACCCTGGTAACCACGATAGAAACCCTTTTTGTGTCACCCCTCATAGAAGCCACAACAGCCTGAAGTCCAGATTCCGACTTCCCCATCCACGTGAGACGTCTACCTGAGTCTACCTGGGCCTGTCTAGAGCCATTTCACCACAGTAACTTAGGGAGTTGACGCTCTGGGGTTCCGAGTTTACGAGGCGAAGGAGTTGACGAGTTCTGGGTGTGTTTCAGTTCGTAGGGGAATCTCGTTCTGCATCTTCTAGGATATAAAGATCCTACAACAGCCCTGGAAACACCATTATAGAAGCACTGCACTGGCCCGTGCAACCATCGAATACTCAGGCTCCTAAACCCCAAACCCTAAACCCTAAACACAACCCTAAACAAACCCTGAACCCTGAACCCTGAGCTCTACACCCCGAACCCTAAACCCTGAACCACCGGAAAAACGGGAACCCAAGGAACACTGACACGATTTGCTGGATGTCGGAGTTCTTCGGCAGGTGCGAAGAGAAGATGATACCAACCTTGGATTGACAGGGGATTTATAGGCTTCTTCTACGGCTGTTTACTAGGATTTTGCTGGAACTCTATAGGGATGCATTGGCGCAGCGTTCCCTTAAGAAAGCCCCTCATTGAGCCCTTACAAGTACCCTCACAGGAACCCTTGACCCTAACTGGTGGCTAGCGTTATAGAGTCTATAATTAAGGTTTTGTGCACCTTGAAGCCAGAACACCTTGCATCCTAAACTGTTAACCCCCGCTTGTACGCACGATCCTGCAACCTAAAACCCCAGACAAGAAACTCTGGGAGCTGATACAGGGATGCTTGTTCGAAAGCATCCCTACACAAGTAACACCCATTGCTTTGCTTCAGAAGCCCGTAAACCAACCCTTTTAAAACCCTATGGAAAGCTACGCAAGCCCTCATGGCACCTGACTTGAAGAAGCCCAAATCTGTGCCCTGCAACGCCATCTGCCCGGCTTAGTTCCCCGGAGAAAAAGGAGACCTGGTACCTCTCCACACCTCCAGGGATGAGGGGAAGGGGGGGCAACTTAGGGTTTAGGGTTTGCGGTTTACGGCTAGAGGGTGCGTTCGGATTGTAGGGTGTAGGGCTGAAGGATTCTAGAGCTTAAGTTCTTGCGGTTTCAGGTGGGCTGCCTGCCGGTTTGGCAGCTTTCAGCGAACTCTTTAGCTGTTGCATATCTACTTGAATCCTGGCTGCTGTGAAATTGCACGGTGCCACAGTGCTACGATAGATTTGGGCGTCTTTGGGCACGGTGTTGAGGCTTTCACAGCTTGGGTCTTGGGATTGACGGCTCCAAATGGACTCTAGATGAGCTCTACAAAGCTCTCTAGAATGGAGTCAACAACTGTTAATCTTAGGCTTCATCGCCATCATCGTCATCGTCCCCGTCGCTATCGCCATCTACATTCGTCATCGACGACATAAGAGGAAGGCCATAAAGGATGTCTGCCCTAAACCTTCAACCCTAAACCCTAAACCCTAAACCCTAAAAACCCCAAACCCTTAAATTCTTTCAAATTCACCCGATCTCAGAAGCCCAGCCTTTCTTGTGCACGCGATCCTCCGACACCAGAGACAACCGGCCCTTCTGCCTCGGCTCAAAGTGACCAGGGCTAGGGTGCCTGTAGGGTTTAGGGGTTTTAGGGTTTAGGGTTTTAGGGCTTAGAGTTTCAGGGCTTAGTGTTTTAGGGTTTCAGGGTTTAGTGTTTNNGGGGGGGGGGGGGGGGGGGGTTGAGAACATCCGAGCGGCTTCTTGGTGAATGATCTCCCGTCCTCGGCGAAGACTTCAGCTTTGCCGCGCACGTGGAAGCGGTGGAGACGCGGAGCTGGAGGTATCTGACCGTAGCCTCTACCGGCAGGCATGTCAAAGGAGATGGACCTCACCGTCTCGCCGTAGTCCGTCGAACCCAAGGTCAGAGAACGTAGGAGGTCCCTGTAGTCCAGCTGGTCAAAGGCTGCGGGGCCCATGTGCTCCACGTTGTCCACATGGTCCATAGTTTGGTCTGTGGGAAACGTGAAGCTGCGGTCGGCGGTTGGAGGAATTTCAATGTCCATAGGGATCTTCAACGGCATATTGCTCCCGATAGCTCCGAGGGTCGAGGGTCTGCGGACACCCAACTTCGAAGGCAAAGGTGGGAGTGGAGGCACCTCCGGCTGGTTCCCGAGCTGCGTGAGCATGCCGAACACTAACTTTAGGGCCTCGAGCTCTCTGGCCTCCTCCCAGGGCGTCACGCTGATACCTGGCTGGAGGGCAGCAACAGTTGATGGTATTACATGCTACATGTATACATACATACATATATATATATACATGCATACATACATACATACATACATACATTCATATATATATATTATGTACAGAACAATGAAACACATGAGCAGAAAAGCATAGAACAGAACATAAGACAACAGAGTAGAATACAATAGCAGAAAATAAAGTAGAAAAGAATATAATGGAATATGATAGGATACCCAAAATACTGTGTATATATACATGTATATATATATATACACATATGTAGTTATGTGTCATGCGTGTGTGTGTGTGTGTACAGAAATGTCTTTGTACATAACGTGGCAGACAATGTGACAATGTTTTTTAACAACCGCATATCATGCATGATACCCAACATATAGTTTAAAACCTATGACGAATATGCGAATATTTCGGTAGCATATGAAAACACAAACCAGTCTGAAATAGAAAATCGAAAAGGGAAAGGATGCAATATATTTAGTCCGAAGTTATGTAAAATAGTAAAGCAACATATCATACAGTATACTGTACTACTCTCACAAAGAAAATCTAACATTCTATGATGTAACATAAAATGGTAGAAACATAGCATAACACAATATATAGCATGCTACAATTTAACATAGCATAATACGATATAGCCTAAACTTGATATCATATCAAGAAATAGACATACTAAACTGTGCATACATAGAATGTATAGCATGGATATAGTAAATGGTATGTAGTATACAATATATAGTATACAGTACATACTATACAGTATGAAAAGTCCAATAAGCATTGTATAGCATATCGGGGCATAGTACATGTCATACACATGCTACATAATATGTAACATGTAACCTGATCAATAGTTAGTATCGCATACAAGTTAAAGTATAATGGTCACAAATATATACAGAGAATACAATATTAATGTGTAGTAAATGGCATTAAAGATGTATATGACACAAATTAAGCTATAAACCATGTGATAATCCCATACATTTTTCAATTTACAAGAATACTATATTATATATCATACTGTACTATAGTAAAAAGAATCTGGTATAGTATGATGTAGCTAGTATGACATAATACACTTTATAATACAGTATTTAATAACATCCGATATAACGCATTGTATAAAGTGCAATAAGCTATACTATGGCACAGTGTGTGTATATATATATATGCATATATATACATATATTTGAGTGTATATGTACTGTAATAACACTGTAATATGTAATACATAGCATACACCTAAACATATGCCTTATTATAGTCTGTATCATGTATGTTATATATGTTGCAAAACACACGTTGTATGTCTATCTATATATATATATGTGTGTGTGTGTGTAATTATAAAGACATACATACAGACATACATACATACATACATATGTACATAAGTACATGCCAACATACATACATACATACATACATACATACATATGCACACACCAACTATTTGTATTCGGGATAATATGGCATCGACTACACGTTCTACATACTTTATGTTGTATCATTTCTTGTAGGTTATATATTGTATTCTGTCTACCATATACTGCCAACCAAACGCCATACCCTGGTTCTATGGACTATATACTGTAAACTACGTACTGTCTACTGTATACTGCGTACTATGTACTACATACCACGTACTATGCTTCGAATGTAGTACGTGTATGACATACAAATTCTACTGTATAGTATATACATCTAATACTGCGTTCTAGGCTGTACATTAGGAGCTGCATTCGATATAGTCTTGTACAGTTAACTCATGTATGCGAATACATATGCATACATATACATATGTATATATATATATACATATATACATATATGCTAAATACATGTTAATATATATGTATATACATATGTTGCATATACCAACACAAGCAGTCATAAGTATGAAATTACATATCTATGTAGTCTTTTAGGCGGTGTACTAGCTACATATCATGTATTGGTAATAAGTATGTGTGTACATAAACACTTATGATTGAGAATACATGCCGTTTACTATATGCTGTGCATTACTCATTGCTGTTTGTAAGTCCTCTTTGATATATCATCCATGAAAACTATACCTGAGCAGAAGATAAATATATACTACATATGCTTTGTATATCCATATATGCTACATATCATTGTTGCATAATATGTGTGCATATATATATATATATATAAAGAACATATTGTGACAAGAGCACCACATGGTGCAAGCCAGGCGGCAAAATGATGTAAATGGCGCGAGCTTCGCATCCTGAAGAAGATCCAAGAGCTCTTCCACCGCACATTCATCCTCGATCTCGCATGGGTCCCAAGATAGTGGCCTTCTGGGCACTTCCGTCGACTGGATGGGCAAAGGGCTTCGATCGAGGTCGCTTTCCTTGATGCGACCTCGTGTCTTCGACATAGCCCAAAACAGCTCCCAGGAATGCTTGGCGACGACAACTGCGACGACCACGACGACCACGACGACCGCGGCAACGATGAGAACGACGACGACGAGGCACTACCACGACCACAACCACAACCACGACAACAACCCGAAACAAGAAAGAACCAGAACCACAACAGCAACAACCACGACGAGGACGAACACGACGACGCCGACCACGAAAACACAACCACAACAACAGGCATAAGAACAAGAACGGAAACAGCAGCAACAACAACAACAACAACTAGTACTACCACTACTACTACTACTACTACTACTACTACTACTACTACTACTAACTACTACTAACTACTACTACTACTACTACTACTACTACTACTACTACTACTACTATTACTACTGCTACGAAAAACGAAACAGCTCGGCAACTGCAACAGCAGCAGTAGCAGCAGCAAAATCTGAGAGGCTACTACTGGTGAAGTACACCGTCAAGTACAGCAAGGCTGCGGCAGCACGGCTCCGACATGTAGCGGGTCAAAACACTGTGCCCGGACAACCCAGATGCGGGAGATTCCCACCCGAACGACAACAACAACATCAGCAGCAGCAGAACCCGCAGCCACACACAGCTACAAGCACAACCAAAATCACATCCACAACCACATCTGCAATCACAACGACTATGACTACTACCACGACAACAACGACTACCACAACCGACGCGGCTACAGCCACTGCACGAGTGGAAAATCCTCGGGCCAAGCCCTCAAATTCCTAAGCCCGCCAGCAAACAAATTGACAGTTGATCTACGACGAAAAGACATTTGTCTGAAGTATAGTATTACTCTTTGTTTTTTTGTGACTACTACTACTACTACTACTCCTGTCACTATGTTATCATTCAAAAAGCATTGATGTTAACTTTGAGTATCTGTGCTTGCTATCGAAATTATTCTTAGTAAGTCAAGGGGCTGGAAAACATGGCAGGTGGATCCAAGCCTGCGAACATCACCGGTCTGCCTCGCCCGGACGCCCCGTGGCGCCTGAAACCAAAGAGGCGGCCAGACCTGGATGCAAAAACCTCACAGGGATGGTTTAGGGTTTAGGATTTAGGGTTTGGGGTTTAGGGTCGGAGGGTCTTAGGGTCTTTCAGATACGTTAGCGTCCCGGGGTCTTCATATTCGGATGCGAGGATTGCTTAAGGTGTCTATTGTGGGTTTGGGCTTGAGGTTTCTGGGTTTCTCTGGGTTGAGCGTTTTCGCATCCTTAGAGCTTATAGCTTTTCGGGGCTTACGGTTGAACTCGGGATGAGGATTCAGTACTTTCGCTTCGGCAAGGGTCTGCGATATTGAGACATCCCTTGGGACCGAGGGAATTGCAGGCGGGAGATCAAGGATGAAACTCGTTCTGCGTGTTTAGGGCTGTGATATGCCAACTCTGAACCCTAGAACAAAAGCCCTTGAAGCCTGAACTCTAAAGCCCTAAACCATGAAACCTTAAAGCCAAACCCTACCTGGCCTCGTGACTTCATACAGTGATCGCTACGAGTTTGAGCCAACAGCCACAGCGAGTTCAGGCGTGCTCTCCGGTCTTTTCAGCTGCAGCTCCCCAGGGTATCGGCTCAGGTTTGAGGATTTAGAGTCCAGAAACTCGGGGAGTCGGATTCGGGGTTTGGGGAAGGTGGAGATGATCATAGAAATTCCCGAATTTCCGAAGTGTCGGGCCTAGAATCGGAAAGCCGAACATCAGCATGCCTTACTCTGAAGAAGCAAGCATTACTAACGCTGTCAGAACGCCTAGGGGGCAACTGATGATTTCCCAACTGTCGACCGTGCGGCCTCGACTGCTTACATTAGTTACATAACATCACAATCATTGCTGCGTGTACTGGTGATTTGCACCTTGTCAACTCTATCAGACTCTGTCATTGGTTCTGCCGATTGCTGCACCCATTGGCGACACACCCAAGTCCTGCACCCCAAACCCGAAATCTTAAGCCCCAAATTTGCCAAACCATGAACCCCAAGACACTGCACAAAACACCTGCAACCCTAAACCGTAAACCCTAAACCCAAAGACCCTTACTTAAACTTAAACCCTACCCCATACTGAACCTTAAACCCTGAGACCCCAAACCTTAAACAACCGTAAGCAAAGAAAGCCCTAAATCATTCGTGAGAACCCTAAACCCTAACTAAACCCAAAACCCTAAAAACTCCAAAACCCTAAAAGCCCTAAACACCCTGAATACCCTAAATACCCTAAAAACCCAAAATCCAGGAGAACCCTAAGCTCATTGGACCGACCTGGGCCCGACTGGTCTGGATGATGTTGCGCAAGGTCTCCCCACGGTGGCCCATGACCTCTGCGAGCAGAGAGTCAGAGAGAGTAGGGGGGTTCTGGCTCGGAGAGCCGGTGTTTTAGGGTTCTCTTCGTGTGTTTTGGTGGGTTTTTTCAGGGTTTAGGGCTTGGGGTTCTCCAGGGGCTTGGCACTTGATTCGGGTTTGGGGCTCAGGGCCTGGGCTTGAGGAATCCCAGAGGGCAGCTGGACAAGCCCGTGACAAATTTGTCGCCCCGTCGTGTTCGAAGCGCCTCCGCCGTTGCATCCCACTACAAGTTCGGAATCTCGACTACGCAGCACCTGAGAACAATCATAGCAAGACCAAGCAGACTATACTGGCAAGACAAGTTAGCCTCAGCATCACTGCGAATAGAATATGAGTGTTGCTGACGTAATCGTCACCACGGCGGCCACTACTCACCCTTACTCCTCTCACCATCATCGCCGTGATCCTCCTGTGACTCTTGTGCTTCACTGGTCGCCTTCGTGATGATTGATTTTGGATACGGCAACCCCCTCATCTAGTCCAACTACAAAGCCCTAGGGCTTGGGTTATACTGGCTTTTGGAGGGTTTGATAATTGCTTTACGTGGGCTTCAAGGAAGATTGTGCAAGGGTGCTTTCCTCAAAATTGCTTTCAGGACCTCTGCCCCTGAACCTCAAGAGACTCCGAGGCAACAATCTCTTGAGGAGTCCACGGATCCAAAAAGTTCCGTGGGGACCAGTAGCCGCAGTTTCTGGCTGTCCGCCTTCACTCAGGCTTTCCGCTAGGACACTGGGACTGCTATTATCACCAGGGCCGGTATGATGCTGAGAACTATCGCAAAATGTGGTCCCTCAAACCACCTCTTCCAGAAGCCGTCGAGAAGGTCGTCATACAAGCCGTACTATTCTAGACTCACCCAACGGCAAGTGCCTAGAGCCCGAAAACTGGCTCAGTCGCATGCAGCTCAAACGAGCAACCCAAAACCCACCAAAGCAAAGGGAAGCAGCACCGAAGCCCCAGTTCCCAAATCCATACTACAAGCCCGAAGCTCTCAAGCACCCTGAACTTTGAATGCTACACCGTACCCTACATCCAAAGCCCTGCACCGTAAGATCCCAACCCTAAAACTCGCCTGCCAAACTAACCTCAACGAAAAATCCGTCAACAGCCCTGTACCTCAAAAAACCCTACTAGCACCCCTAAAACCTCTAAAGGCCCTAAAGCCCCAAACGTACCGCGTAACCCTCACCCTGGGGGCCTACACAAATTACCAACACTTTTTGGAGGTTCCTTATTGTACTTATAGCATGATAATGCCCTCAAACCCTATTCTCATTCTTAAAGCCCCTACCCTTAAAGGAACCCTCAAAGTCACCCTTAAAGGAATCCTTAAAGAAACACTTAAAGGAACCCTGAAAGGAACCCTGAAAGGAACCCCCAAAGGAACCCCCAAAGGAACCCTTAAAGGAGCCCTTGAAGGAATCCCTAAAGGAACCCTTAAGGGAGCCCCAACGCCCCAAAAGTAGCTCAAGAGGCCTCAGCCCGCGAAGTCAGGTCTTCGAGCACCTCGGGTTTGGGATGTAGGGTGTAGGGTTTAGAGGTTTAGG